GCGCTATTTAACCTTATAAAAATTAATATAATTATAAAATACCTACTAAAGGGAAAGGCCCTAAAAATATTTAATATATTATACCTTAAATTTATAAAATAGCTATTATTATAATACTTTAACTTAAAATTATATATATAATTATAAAYTAACACCTTAGGGTATGCTATTATTAAAGTATTATTTTAATTAATAAAAAATATATAATAATATTTAATTACCTTTTAGTTTTATAAATTAAAAAACGCGAAAACTTAATATAAAACTTATAACTTTAAAATACTTATAATTATAAAATACTTTTAAGTTTAAAAATATTACTTTAAGGGTAGTAAATTTCCTATTAAGGTGCTTATAAATTATAATAATTTATAATAATTTATAATAATTAAAAACTTAATATAAAAACAAGCGCGATAAGTTAAAAAACTTATAATTTTTAACTTTATTATTAAATACTGCCCGGGGGCAAAAAAACCAGTAAATATTTTAAGTAAAAAAGTAAATTATATTTTTTTAAAAAAAAAAAAAGCTATAGGCAGGACAGTTTTTTATAAATTATAAAAATAATTAAATAATTAATTATTATTATACCTAAAGTTTAAATTATAACTTAATATATAAGCTATTATAGTAAATAAAAACCTGCATGTAAATAAATTATAATTAAGTATTATAAAACTATTTTAAATAGCCTAAGAATATAATAAAAAGTTTTAAAAAATAAAAAATAATCTTATAAATTTAAACCGCAAAAAAGATTTTAAGTATTAAAAAGTAATAAATAATAACTTACTATACTTTAAAAACTAAGTTTATATACTAAAGTTTATAATACTTTATAAAAAAATTATAAAGGTAAACTATAATAAGCCCTAAGGTGGGCATTAAGGTGTTAATATAATTATTATAAATATTTTTTAAAGGTACTATTAGCTAAATATAACTAAGTATATTAAAAAATATATTAAAAAGTATAATAGTTACTAATAAATCATGGTTTATAAGTATAAATTATATAAATTATTAAAATTATTAAGCCCACCAAGGGCATTTATAAAATAAATTAATATAAACTTTATTATTAGTTTACTACCTATAAAGTATAATAAGCATGTATATAATATTATTTTAATAATAATTAAAATATATACTAAATTTATATAATATATTTTATACTTAAAAAATATTACCATAAAATAACTTGCAAATACCCTTATAAATAATATTTTTTACTTTATTAATATATTAAAAAATATAATTAATAACCGCGAAAGTTTTTTTATTAATATATTTTAGGCTATATTAAGCTACTACCTAAGTATAAGATAAAAATTATTTACTATATATTACCCGTAAATAAACAGCTAAATTAAAAAGTAAAACTAAGTTTTTAAATACTACCTCCGCGCTTATATTAACTAGCACTAAAATAATTAATTATAATAAATTAAAATAATATAATTTATAAATAATAATATATATAAGTAGTTTATAGGTTACATACCTACTAAAGCTTTTATAAATTTAAAGGTAACTATATATATTAATATTAAGGGACTTAACTAAGTATTAAAAAATTAGACTTTAAAAAGCTATAAAGTTTAAAAAAATTCGCGTAAATTTAAAAAAATAATTATAAAAGTTAAAAAAAGCTATGGTAGTTTAATATAATAAAAAGCATAAGAAAATAAGCTTTAAAATTAATAACCATGTTATACTTTGCATAAAAAATATTAAATTAGTAAAACTAAATTCTAAATTAAGTAAGATATTTATTAATTTATTTTTAGTAATTATAAAATAAAAAAAATAGTTTTATAAGCTACTACTTTTATTAAATATATAATAACTATATAATATTTTTTATATTATACTTTTAAAACCTTACCGCGGTAACCTATTTTAAGTATTAAATATTAGCCTTATATTAATAAATAGTAAAAAAAAATACTTTATTAAAAAAATTTTTAATATTTATAAATTTAAGGGCAAGGTATAATACCTTATAAAATAGTAAGAATAAAATAATATAAAAAATAATATATAAAAACTAAAGGCTTATATAGCTAAAACTATAATATTTAAAAATTTTAAAAAAACTTATAAAAATAAATTGTGTAAAGTAAAAAAATACTAAATATAAATACTTATATTTATAACCTACGCGCACTTATAAAAAAAAAATATTATTTTTATTAATTAGCAGCGCCCGCAGGGCCTTTTAATAAAAAAAAAATAAAAATATAAAATAAAATAAAAAATAATAAAAAAAAAACTTAAATAAGTGGCTAAGCCACGCGGCGCGTAGCACTTAATATATATAAAATAAGAATTAAGCCTACAAGGGCGTTAATACCAATACCTAGTATAAAAGTAACCTTAATAAAAATTCTTAAAAATACTAAAGCGCAGCACACCCTATACTAAAAATAATAAAAGTTTATAATAAAATTAATAATATAATATAGTATAAATTAAAATATATAAATATATACTTAGCAGCCAAAGCTATATTAATATAAAAAAAATTATAATTATTAAAGTAATATTAAATAAAGATTTAAAAACTAGGAAGAAAATCACTATAATAAATTAATAAACTAAAATATAATAATACTATAAAAAGGGGACTAACTTATATAATAAATTATTATTTTTATTAAGGGGGGCATTAACCTATAAAATAAAATTAAATATAAATATAATAATATTTATAAGGTTAATTACTTGCATATTATTAACTATAGTAGTTTATTTAATAATTACTTTAAATATTTAATAAGCTACTTTTAAAATAATAAGGTTTTTGCAAGCTCGCGGACTATTAGCTTTTATATATATAATATTAATAATATTAAAAATATTTTATAGCTAGTTACTTACTAGGGTAATATTAATAGTTATATATTTTAAAAGTATTTTTTTTATATTATAATAAAACTAGTACTTTTTACCCCCTAAGTAGTTATATATAAAGGCTTTTATTATAATATTTATAGTAAATATATTTTTATTATAACGCCCTGTAATAATAATATATATAATATATTATAAAATATAAAAATTAAATAGCAAAGCTATAAAGCCCGGGGGTAATAAAAAAAATATTAATAAAAGCCTTATTAGCAGGGGTGGTAAAAATAATAGCAAGGGTAGTAATAGTAATAATAATAATAAAGGCATGTAAATATTAAAATTAAGTTATTTTAATAACTAGTATATTAATAATTATTAATATATAAATAAAGGGCAGGAAAATATAATTTTATATATTAAAGGTAAAATAAAAAGTAAAGGCTAAAACTAAGGCTTAATTACTATAATAAAAAAATATAAAATAAAATACTATAATAAAATAAATAATTATTAATAATAGTATTTAAAGCGTGATATAAAACTATATTAAATATTAAAGTAAAAAAAATATAAAGCAAAGGGCAAGCATGGGAAACCTTAAAAAAAAATAAGGTTAAAAATATATAGTATAATAAAGGCTATAATAAAGGTAAATTATATTTAATTTAATTATTAAAAATAGTTTTAAAAATATAAAAATAACAAGAGCTAAATATAAAAAACTTATTAATTAAATTAAAAAGGCAAGTGCATAATAAAATATAAAAAAAAGGTAAATAAAAGGCTAATATAATAATATATTAATAACTAAAATAAAATAATTATATATTATAAATAGCTATTAAAAATATTAAAAAAAGTATAAAAATAAAAAAATTTAGTTATTTAAAGCTTAAAGCTTTATTATAAAAATTAAGTATAAAATAAAATAAAATATACAAGCCTAATAATATTAACATAGGATTAATATTATTAAAATAAATAATATAATACTTAAAAAGTATAAAAAAAGGTAAATATAAAAATTCTAACCCTAGGAATATAATTAAATAATTAAAAAGTAATAAAAATATAATAAAAAGGTGTATATTTATAGCAGGTATTTTTAATTAAGTTATAAAAAAAACTTTAAAAAAAAAGATTATAAAGGCACTTTACTATTAAAACTAAAATATTATACCTAGCTATTACAGGCAGTAATACTATATTTAAATTTTAGAAGTAAAGTAAGGTAATTAAATTAATTTTTTATACCTAACTTTAAATATAAATTACACGTGAATTATAATACCTTATAAACTTAAAAATAGCTTATTTTATAGTGCTTAATAAAATTTATAATTTAAATTATATTTTATAAAATATAAATATAAATTTATAAATTGCAAGGGCGCGATTGCTTAAAAAAAATATTATTATTATTATTATAATATTATAATTATATAATATTATAATAATATAATTTAATAGCCTAAAATCACTAGGTAAAAAAACTTTAGTACTAAACTAGCTGTATACTAAGGCAGCGGCTAGTTATATAATATATAAAATATTAAGTTTAACTTTAAACTTTAACTTAAAAAAATTAGTAATTAGTTCCTACTATAAATACACGACGCCTTTCCTATTGCAGTAATTCACGTTTTCCTAAGCTCACCGCAGTATACAAACGCGACTCACACTGGTTCCTGGCGTTATCTTATCCACCTTTGTCTCGGCCGTGGGTCACCGTATCCTCAGCCAGGCTCGCGGGTCTGGGTTGCAAGGTACTAGCCCTTGTTGATGCCAGTCTCACATGATCAAGAGTGGATTATTCAGAATGACGCAGGAATAACTTCACCGGCTTGTCGCTGGGTAAGAGAATTATGTCGTAAGGAAAAATCTTCTAGATCTTATTGCTGCGCGAGGGTTATGCCTTGTAGCGCACCCCCCGCTTCAGCTTGGAGAGTTTACTCAGATTTCCCGGCTTGAAAGGTCCTGAGGAATTGCAGTATGCGGAGTTCGATCATCCTGGGGCTGCAAGAGGACAGACTGGCCATGTCTTAGGGCTCAGGATGCTCTAAAATACCAAGAAATGAACAAGATAGTTACATAGTCTCGAAATGGACGGTATTCATGCTAAACACATCACTCAATCACGTTTACTCCTCCTCATAAAGCTCCAACCCAGGGATCCTCCCATTCCGAAACAAATCCACGAAGATCTGATGATCAGCCCTGGCCTTGGCCCCATACCGATGCGCAAAGTCCACCAACGCCTCCGCAAAGACTTCCTCCCCACCAGCAGCATCAATCGCCTCGTCAATAACCTTCTCCGGCGAGAACGGCACCAGCGCCGAATGCAGCTTGTCGTCGTCGCCCGCAGCATGCATCATCGCCGTCGCACGGCCCAAGTCCGCCACAACGGCCGCCATCTCGCTTATATCGTTGATCTCCGACCAGTCGAGATCGACGGCATACGGCGAGACCTCAGCAACAAGCTGTCCGACGCCGTCGATCTCCGTCCAGCCGAGCCAGGGGTCCGCACACGCCTGCAGCGCACGCTGGGAGACGACGGTCCGGTGGCCCTCGTGGAGGAAGTAACCAGCGGCAGAAGCATTCGCGACGTGTCTCGACACAGCAGCGGGGATAGACTGCTTCATGTAGATGATGACATCGTTCTCGACGGCCTCGCTCTTACCCTCGAGCAGGATATTAAAAGACGGAAGCCCGGCGGAGCCGATCCCCACGCCGCGCCGGCCAACGACGTCCTTGACGCGGTAGGCGCTGGACTCGGGTCTCGGCTGGGGCAGGGTCTCGAGGTATTTCATGAACGCGGCGATGACCTTTTCGCGGGCGGGGCCGTCGAGCTCGATCGCGCCGCCGCCGAGCGTGAAGCGGCGCTCGAAGTTGTGGATCTCGGTCTGCGAGTCGAGCAGCGAGACGCGGGTCTGCATGCGGGCGTTGTGCAGGGCATCGAGCAGCGGCCCCTTGGCCGTGTCCAGCGTGATGCGCGGGATATTGTGTGTTTCGCTGCTGGCCAGGGCGTGGATGCGCTCGTGGTACGCGGCGGCATAGGTCTCGACCAGACGCGTGATCTGCCTGTCGCTGAGGGCCTTCGCGTACCCGATCAGGGCGATCGAGGCGGCGAAGCGCTTGACGTCCCAGGTGAAGGGGCCCACGTAGGCCTCGTCGAAGTCGTTGACGTTGAAGATCAAGCGGCCCTGCGAGTCCATGTACGTGCCGAAGTTCTCGGCGTGCAGGTCGCCGTGGATCCAGATGTTGCTGGACTGGTCGGTCAGGAAGGCGTCGGCTTTCGCCTGGGGCTCGAGGTCGTGGTAGAAGAGGCAGGCTGTGCCGCGGTAGAAGGCGAAGGCGGAGGCGGCCATCTTGCGGAACTTGGTCTGGAATGCGGCTGGGTCGGCGGCGAGGAGGGCGCCAAAGGCTGTGGAGAAGACAGTGAGGATCTCTTCGCCGCGCTGCTCGGAGGGGGCGTGGGGAGTCATGGTTGTAGATGAGGCAGGGCGTTGGTCGGGGTTTGGATAGAACTGAGGTTTTCGCAACAAAACGCCAGACTTCCTGTGTGTCCGGAGAAAGGGAGTATTTATATCGAGATCCTCAGGTATTCCAAGCCAGCTCCCCTCACTGTGGCAGTGCAGGGTCTCCATGCAGCCATTAATCTACTGTTCTTGGCCGGAGCCCTAAGCGTCTTGTCGTGGTTCAGCTTCGTGGCAAGCGCCGCATCCCAAGCCTTGGTCAGCTCCACCATGTATCGGCCAAGAGCTGGCTCCGAATCCCACGCGCTGCTGGCCATAGGACGATCGCATGCTGCATTTGTTTGCGCTGCACCCTCGGACCGTCCCTGGCGGGCCCGAACGTCGCTTGTGGCTGGCTGGTGGTCATCTGGGCAGTCTGTAGCCAAACAACGAGGTAGAATCGAGCAAACAGCTGCATGTCAGTTCAGCTCAGCCAGTTGTCCGGGTGAAGGAAGAGGGGCTGAAGCAGATGATGTCCAGTGAGGACCCACGTTGCATGAGGAGAATCAGCACCCAGCCAGAGTTTGCCCAGGTGGGAGAAACCTGAAGTCGTTTCCTTAGACTAGATAGGACACGAGTCTCTCCACTGTTCTGCCAGTAAGTGCCTGACCGGTTGAAGCAAGCAACTTGCCTGAAAAGACGCCTCTGGTTCTCGTAGACCTATCGTAGCGGAGAGTATAGGCAAGCCGGGCTGGCGCTTTCGAGGCCATGCCCCTGTCGTAGACCTGTAATCGGTATTACCCCTCACAATAAGGGCGGTCCTGCTATCAACATTAACTTCAATTAGCAGGAAAATCGGTTGGTTGATAGAAGAACGAAATCATGATGCCGGACGGGGTGGCGTAGAGCTTATGAATCCATCGACATCAAGGTCCACCGGGACTGGGGGAAATGTTTACGCCCAGAACCGAGTTGAAACCGGCATGGAATTGTTTCTCTTGGCGGTTGCTTGGTCACTGCAGATCTGTGAAATTCCACCCCAGGGTAAATGTTCAAGATGTGGGATATTCGATAGTATTTCCCAATCACCACCGGTGCGAGGCCACAAGATATCTTAAAGCCACCGCATCTTAGAATCTCATCCAGCGCTGGATGGTTACTCTGACAATGGATCATCGTTCAACCAGTTCTTGATGAACAAATGTCATTATACTGTGCCTGTTATCGAATCTCTGCTAGCCCTGTTCGAACAGGCAAACAATATCAATCTAGGCCTGAGAACGAAGTCTACCGATGGTAATAGCGTCTCTAACAACGGAATTGCCCGGTTTAATGAGATATATCCATACGGAAAGGGCCCAGTTACCGAATTTGGGCTGAAGATGAGCTCACCCTAACCACAGGACAAAATGGACCAATCGGCGCAGCAGCGTGCATTGTGTGAATCAAGCTGACAAGAGCCTTCCTACAGGTACCCTGAGCTTATGGAGGCCCTATAGTATGGCCTCGATTCACATGTCCCCCAATGAAGCTGGACGGTTGCCTACTCTGTCTACTTGCAGGGAACCAGGTGAATGGTCTTGTCTAAGACACAACTAGGCGACGGACTCTGTTATAAACAGTTTGACGTGATAATAGCAAAGGGAATATACGGTACTGCTGGATTCGATACTGTAAGATGCTAAGTACATGGTCTAGAAAGGTATTTTTGATGAAGCAATATCAAGTGTTGAAAGTGAAGACGAAAGAAAACATCAGTCTAGAGACGGTCTAGGAAACAAGCAGGTCATGCCTTGATGCACAGCTCGCGATGAGTCTGCAAGAAGCAGGTATTCCGGTCCTTTGCAAGGGGCAGCATCTCGATCTCCTTGCGGCTCCGACTTAGCTCTGAATCGCGTGCATACCCATACCCATCGGTCCGGATGACCTTGGCTTCAGACCCATCAATCAGAGCAAACACCTCTTCGGCCGCATCAACAACATTCGAGATCTTTCCGGGGAAGATATAGACGACGCCATCTGCTTCAAAGACAACGGAACTGCGGAACTCGGTGTCGGTCACCATCTTGGGCAGCACGGAGCCCTTCCAACCCGTGTAATGGAACCGCTTGGTAAACCCCGGCCAGAAGCGCTCCATCTGCTCTTCCAGCTTCGGTCTGACCTGACCTTCCATGAAGTCAGGCGCGAGACCGGAAAGACAGGCTCCAGCTTCGGCGGGGGTGTCGTACGACCCCAGGATGGTGTATGCACCGTGGGTCAGCACGTAGTCTCCAACCTTCTTGGGGTCGCTGAGACAAGGCATCAGGCAGGGAAACCAGCCATCCATGACGATGAAGGAGATGGGCGACTGCCCGGGGGTGCTGTCGGTGTAGCTCAGAGCGGTGCAAGCCTGGTACTGGATGTTGAGCTTGATGGGGAGATTCGAGAGGAGGCCGTCAGGCAGGGCAGAGGCGTAACCGGTTGCATTGATGACCTTGCCGAACCAGGCCCCGTCGCGAGTGGAGGTTGAAATGCAGTATCGGTCGCCGACCCGACGGACACCGGTGACCTCGTCGTTCAGCCGGATGCTGATGCCGGCGCTGGACAGCTTCTCGCGGAAGTAGTGCTTCAAGTACGGATTCAGAACAGCGCAGGGCTCGTCGAGCTTGTAGGCAACCTCGAGCTCACTGCCTGGCCAGCAGTGAGCGATGTCAACGGGCAGGCACTCCTTCGACTCGCGGCAGACGTCGCCAAAGGTCTCGGCGTCGACCTTGGACTCGCGGCCCATCGAGTCCTTGCCGGCAAGCGCATAGATGGCAGGCTCGACCGGCACCACAATCTCGGGGTACTTCAGGCAGAAAGACTCAAACGTCCGTCGGCAGCTATCCCTGGTCCCTGAAGACCTGGGGTAATGCGGACCTTTGTGGATTCGAATCCCAAACTGGCCAGAGACGCCATTGAACAGTTCAGAGCCTTTCTCGATGATGGTGACATGATGTCCTGCGTTGGCCAGCTCCAGCGCTGTGTGGCATCCGCTCCAACCACCGCCGATGATTGCGATTGATATCATTATGAAGAGGAGGATGTGACTGGAAATAGAAAGATAAGTGCTCGGGCTCTTCTCTTCCTCCAGGAGTTTCGAGTGGACATCACCTTCGTTTTATATGGGTGACTGCCAGTCACGGTGTATTTTGAGGTTTCAGCTGCTCCTTCCGTTGCTGTTGGGATGCCGACGTCAGATTCGCCTCTGGGAGACATCATCCCGCTCCAGGAATAGCGACATTCGCAGAGTTGACTGCCAGGGGCGGTTGTGATGTCAGACCTGGCGCAAATGTCAAACGTCGTGTGGGTGGACCGGCGGAGACAGCCTCTGTGGCTCGAGTTGCTCTTCGTCGAGGCACAGCGATATCGAGGTCCCAACTTCGGGCCATGTTCACAGGCATTGTCGATTCTGGTCTAGAATCGCCATCATCGGGCCATGGAGGGCAGCGAATTGCCTCGAAGACCGATTGGGTGGCTCCGAGCGAATCTTCGGTGTACCTTACCTGTTTAGCGGGTCTTTCTCTACGAAAAGATATCGGAGTCTCCGTTGTTGCTTTCCATTTATAGTAACTTTAGCTTGGAGAAGTTTACTATAAAGGCACATGCTGACTGCACCTGGACCGCAATCCTCGGACTCATTCGGAGATTGCAGAGCCCCAAGCGGACGGTCTGCTGCGATATAGAGCAACCCAACAACGGCCGCATCGGTGTAGACCATTGACATTGCGGTGCCCCAGTTGAAGTTCATGTAAGAAGGACGATGCTATCGATAGGTACACAAAGCCCCTGACGGCCGTCATCAAGTCCACCACGACCCACGAGGTCCCAAGGCCTTGGGGCAGATATTGAGTTAACTTCACATGAACGTGGTGGTCAGACTGACCTCATACCCATTGAATGAACTCCGGAACAAACTTAAGCTCGCACTGATAAGGAGATAGAAAGAATTAGGGAGAAGGAGCTGACGCGTCTCGCTGTGACTCATCGAATGGCATCCCCAGGGTGTGCAACCGCCCGATATGACACCTGGTTGACATCCCCGTCGAGAGTTTGAACAACGTTCGCCGACGTTCTATGGAGCCTAAAGTGGCTCGCGCATCGGAATCATGAGCCGCTGTGACATTGGCATCACAACGACCCAGGTTACGAGGCTTAACCTTGCCTACGCGAACCTTAACGGCGGCCTAACCTATCGGAGTCTGCCCAGAAAGGTCACCGCGGCGAGAAACCGTTCATTCGACCGATTATCCGGTCTCGCTAGACGCCCGGAGTCCTCCGTACGCCCGGCGCCTTTGCACACCGATGCCAATGAGTATGGCAGTTGAGAGCCCCTCGAGACTCTGTGGACGACGAACAGGACGTACGACATGTGTTCAGCAAGCATCGGATCATATTTCCATCAGCTTGTACGGCTACCGGAAGCTCCTTGATCTAGCGGACCCGAGTATTCGCGGCTTATGTATGTCATTGCGACCTCCCGGCCATGCCCTCGTGTACGACGAAGGGGTCTTACGCTCCGAACAAGCTTTTTCGACCACAGCATTTGTGACGGGATGATTCTATCTACAGATTCGAACGAGCCCTCCACCTGATATACGGATGGTCAGGGCCCGACGGCACCAGATGGTCAACATCCGCTGTATTGACCAAGCCAGGGTATACCTCCGAGAGGTCCCTGATACCGATGAGCTTCATGACAGCCTCCATCTCGGCTTTGAGCACTACAAACGTCAGCGAGTTCAAACTTCCTTAGCGGACAAACCTACACTGAATCAGATGCTCCGCGCCCTCGGCCCCATAGTTCAAGGCGTACAGAAAGCTGCGTCCCATCCCCACAGCCTTCGCGCCCAAACACAGCGCCTTGATGATATCCGCGCCCCGCCGAAACCCGCCGTCGACGTAGATTTCCATTCTGTCAAATATCTCAGGGCAGTTCTTGTGCAACTCCAGGAGCACCAGGATCGTCGGCGGCGAGTAATCCAGGTTCCGGCCGCCGTGGTTACTGATTAGGATACCGTCGACGTTGTGCGCCATGGCAATCCTCGCGTCCTCTGCCGAGGTAACGCCCTTCAGGATAAGGGGGAGCTTGGTGACGCTGCGGATCCATTCGATGTCCTTCCACGTCATGCCCTGGTCGATGAAGCTGCCCATGAGTCTTGTGAGGCCGGCGCCCGCTTTCATCATCTTCCCCGTAATTGGGTCCCGCAGGAGCTCGTCGGATTTGAGGCGTTCGTCGGACTCGCGCTTGCCGCGTCCTGCGGAGTCGACGGTGAGGAAGATGGCTTTGCAGCCGAGGGATTCTGCTTTGAGGAGCAGTTCGCGAGACTTTTCTTTCTGCTTGTTCAGGTACAGCTGGAAGAGGAAGGGGTGGCCGGGGGCTTGCTCGACGATATCTCCCAGTGGATGTCCGGAGTTGGTGCTGACCTGCCAAACCATTAGTAGCATACCTATATTGAATGTCAGGAGCATACGATTTCCACAATCCCCATGGACTTCGAAGCCCTGAACAGTGCCTTCTCAGCATCAGGGTGTATCAAAGACCCAACCCCAGCCGGGCAAATAAACAGCGGCATCGACATCGAAATCCCCAGCATGGACGAAGACGTATCGACGGTGGTCACATCCTTCATGACTCGCGGCCGGAACCAGATGCGCTTGAGCATCGACTCATTTGCGTCTCGAGTCCAGCAGTCCGTATCGGCGGTCGAATAGAAGGTATACGCCTTCTCGGACGCACTCGCCGCAGCGGCCTTGTCAAAGTCATAGCTAGAGCGGTTAATGTCCATACCTCGGATATTTATCCGAGGACGCACCTGTTGATGAGCGAGGCCAGCTCGGGTTTGGGGCCGCGGGGCTTCGCTGTGGCTTGAGTTTTCTGCGTACTTTGCTTCCACTCTGGTGTTATTGTCGAGGTATCCAGCCTGCCTTTGAAGTGCTGGGTGGAAAGGTTCTCTCTAAGAATCGAGAGGGCGTGGATTTCCACGAACGCATCCGTTGCGTCCCGACCGGCGTATTTAACGATGACTACAGACAAGGTCAGTCAAGGACGGGGATCTCTAGAAGATACTCACCGGAAGGACCACCGGGATGTTCACCGACAAAGCTCGTCAAGTCCCAGACCTCGCCCTGGATGACCAGCCAGCAGTCGGCCGGGGTGTTGTGGGCAAGCACGTCCTGCACCGAGAGCAGCGGTGTATCTGTGGCGTCGTTTTCCATGATGTTGAGACTGTGTCTGGAAATCAAATATCGAGATCTAATTTTATATGCGATCGCGAGAACGATCAGCCGAAGTCCTTGCGGGGTTCGCTCCGCTCATCTCGGAGCGCATCCGATGTCGGACGAGAACGCGCTTTGCAAATAGATCATCGGTCATTTGATAGACCTATGGCCGCTGACCGAAGCCCTGACGGACAATGTTCTACGCTGCGGATATGGTGACCTCAGGGTACATTTGGCGTCATGATTTGAATCCCGTGCGTCAGTCCCCCAAGAAGCCAGTACCATGCCTTGCCAATAAAATGAATGCTGCATATACCGTCCCGCCGTTGGCTAATCCCGGAATATAGTTGCGCCAGGTTGAATCTAGTATATTAACTTTAGTTATATAAAGTACTTTATAATATATACTTTATTAAAGTAAAATAAAAATATATATTAATTTTTAAATTATATTTATAAAATAAATATATAGTGCAAAGTAATTATATTATATTTATAATAAATATATATAATTATTATTATAAATTATAAGATAAATATAATTTAATAATAATAAATATAGGTTTACTAGGTTATATATTTATAAATAAAGTTTATATTTAGGTTAATTTATTACTGCTTATTAAACTTATTATTAAAATTATTTATATTACTAAGGATATAATATATTTTAAAAATTATATAATAAATATTATAAATATAAATTATAGGTAATTTTATATATTATATATAATATAAATTAATATTAACATGGTATAATTATTACTAGTAATATATAATTACTTAAAGTTTATATATTATAAAGGTAGCGCTTAATAAGTTAGTTTAATAATTTTAATTTAATATTATTTATTATTTAAAATAATTATATAAGCTATAAAATACTGCTATAAAATTAAAATAAATATAAATATAAATAAAAATATTAATTTAATACTAATATTAATATTAATATTTAATATTAATAAAAATTTAAGATATTAAGGGCCCGTGCGCCGCTATTTAAGTTAATTTTAGCTTATTAAATTAATACTAAGTTAAAAGCTATTAATATAATTACTAAAAAAACCCTATATTATTAATAAAAGCTTACTAAAATTATTATATTATAAATAGTTAGTTAAAATTACTATTTTTAAATATAAGCTTATATTTAAAAAAGGTATTTTATATAATATTAATAAAAGGTAAGTTAATATATTATTAAATTATTATTATATTACCTTATATTAAGTTTACATGTCCTTAAATAATATATAAAGGATTTATAAAAGTAATAATAAATTTATAAATATATAAGTAGCTAAGCCTTAGTAAAATTAGTTTTTTATATAATTTAGGTATATTTTTAGTACCTTAGGACATTCTTGCATATTTTATAAAATATTTTTTTTTTAATTATAATATATATTTAAAGGCCGGTAAAAATTAATAAGGTTATAATAAGTAAGGTAGCTAAGGTTATAAAAATATTAATTAGTGTAATAAAATTATTTATTATTTATATAAACTTACCTTGTAAAGTAGTCTTATAACCTTGATTAATAAATTAATATTATAAAAGGTTAGTTAGCGCGGTGAAATTATTTATTATTTATATAAACTTACCTTATAAAGTAGTTTTATAATTTTAATAAGCTAATATTATAAAAGGTTAGTTAGCACGGTAAAATTATTTACTATTTATATAAACTTACCTTATAAAGTAATTTTATAACCTTAATAAGTAAAGGTAAGTTTATTTATAATAATTTACTTTATAAAAATAGCAAGTGCTATAACCTAGTGTTTAGTTTAAAAAATAAAGTAAAAATAACTTATTAAATATTAAGATAATATTAAGTATATATATTTAAATAAAAAAATAAGTTAATAATACCTTTTATAAATAATAGGTATATAAAAGCTTACTAAAATAAATTATATTACATAATTAACTTACTATTTTAATTAGGAGTATAATTAATAATAAAAATTACTAGTAAAAATAGGTATAGCATACCTAATATATTAAAATTAAATTATAAAATACCTGGAAACCTACTGCATTAGCATAAGTAAGTTAATAATTATTATTTAAGTTTATAAACTAGCAAAGTGCACCACTATTTATTATACTTAAGTTAAACTTTTATTATTATTTATTTTTTATATTATTATTTATATTATTATTTGTATTATTATCCGCTGGGCAGTATTTTTAGTATTATTTATATTATTTTTAATATTATCTTTGGCATTATTAATACCTGGGTAATATTAGTATTATTTTTAGTATTATTTTATTTACTAGCTGGTATTTTTTAGGTTAGTGTTATTTATATTACCCTTAATATTATTATTAATATTATTTTTAGTAATATTTATTTATTATTTACACCTTACTTAGCATTTTTAAATTATTATAAAGCAGCTATTAAGTATTAAGTTTTCTAGGGTTATTACCTTAATTTATTACTATAATTTATTTTATTTATTTTTTATTTTATTATTACTATATTATAAAATTAAAAAATAACCTTGGGCTATTTAGCTTATTTTTTAATATTATAAAAAAATTAAAAACACGTCCGGGGGTGTTTATTTATATTTTTGCTTAAATTAAACTATATAATATTTACATAAATAAAGTAATATTATAAAAGGTAAAAACTTAGGTTTTTATAATAAAAGTTTATTAGCTTGCTTATTTTTTTAATACTTTATTTACTACCTAAATAAAGTTAACTTAACTTTTAATTTTTAAATAAGTTAAAATATTTATTGCCATTGCGGGGATTTTAAAAATAATTAATTATTATTAAATATTAAAATATAGCTAGGTTTAAACTAGGTGCTTTTAAAGGTAGGTAAATAAAATATTTAGAATTTTAATTAAAAATACTATAAAAATTAATATTATAATAAAAAATTAAGGCCTAAATAAAGCCTAGTAAAAAAAAATATACCTAGTAGTACTTAGTAATATATATTAATACTTACTTAAAAGTTTTAGCTATTAAAATATATTTAGTAATAATACGCTGGGGTATTTTTAGGTATTAAAAAAATAATTATAAATAACTATAAATAAACTTAGGTATAGCTAAGAATTTTTTTAAAATTATTTTTAAAGTTAATAGGTGTAATTAAGCTGTAAGCAGGATAAGTATAAATAAAAAAAAAATAATTTTAGTTATTATAAAAAAAGGTATATAATTTATATTAGTTTTAGGGTTAGTAAGGCCTTTTTTAAAAATATAAAATTTTATATAAGCTAGCCACCTAATTTTATATACCTTTAAAATTTAAAAAAAAAGTAAGGGGGTACCCTTACTTTTTACCTTACTAGCTAAATTTTATATATTTTACTATACTTAAATTTATAAATTTAATTAAGCTTTTTCTCGCGGGGCTTAAACCTAAAAAAATTAGTATAATAAGTTTAATTTTTATAATATATAAAAATAAAGTTTAATTAACTACCTAAGCTACCTTAGCTAGTATAAATAAAATTATAATTTTTATATATATTTATTTTATAATATCTTGTTTTATTAAATTAAGTTTAATTTATTTATATTTAATTATATTAATAATTATTATATTTATATTCGTGTCCTTTTAAGTTACCTTTATATTTTTAGCTAAAAAAACTTTATATTTTAATTATAGTATATTATTATAATATTAGTAATACTAGCTACAAGTAATAAGCTATTTAAGTTAAATTAAAGCAGCACCGCTAGTGGTATATTTAAAATTAAAATTAAATAATAAAATACTATTTTAATAAACTAAAGGCTAATTATAATCTTTTTTTTAATTTTTTATATATAAAATAAATTTAAAATAATATCACGCGGGATATATTAATATAAAATTACTAGTATAAAAAGTATAAATACTTACTATTTCTTATTTACAAGCTAATAAGTAAAAAATAATTTAATTTATTTTATAAAAGCTTTTTAATACATAATAACACTACCTTATTAAAATATATATTACCTGCCCTTAAAAGTATTAAAAATAAATTAATAAAAATACTTAAAATAAATAATATTACGCAAGAGCAGAAGTCCACGGCTAAAAATAATATTAAAAAATAAAAGTAAAATAAAAAAAAAATAAAATAAAGCTAACTATTACTTATTACTTACTTATAGTAACCTGCCTATATTATTAGGTATTATTTAATATTTTTATAAAGGGTGGAAATTTATATTTAGCATAATATATTAAGTAAATACTATTAATAAATTAATAAAGTTTTAAGGCCTAATAAAATTATTTTAAAATACTTATTTAAGCCTGCACTTTGCTGCTAGGTATAGTAAATAATAATAAAATATTTTTATAAAAAAGTAAATTTTATAATAATACTAGGCCAAAGTACCCCAAGCCTTTTTTTTTATTATTTTTATTTTTTTTAATAGCCTAAAACTAAGTAATTATATTATTTTAAAAATTATTAAATAGCGCTGCGCGAGATTTTAAAGTTTTAAAGTTAAAATATTATTATTTTTTATTATGCTATTAAAAAAAAGTTATATAAATATAAAAAAATATTTATTAAAAAGTAGATCTTATTTAGGTTTGCGGTAATTTATATAATAAACTTAATTTTTAAATACCTTAAAAATAATAACTTATTAATTTTTATTTTTAGTGCACGTAGAAATAATATTTAATTAGGTAATTTAAAATGCTTATGCGTAGAATAGGTAAGAAAAGTTAAAATATAAAATTTAATATAAATAAAAATATTAAAAGCTAAAAATATTAATTTTTATTATTAATATAAAATAAAATAGGAGACTTAGATTTAGAATAAAAAATTAAAATAAATTAAAAGTATTAAGTAACTATAAATTATGTAAACTTACTTATTTTTATATTTTTTAATAAAAATATTATTATTTTATAAAGTTATATACTTAATAAACTACATGGGATAGTAAAGTCCTATATATATATTAGGTTATTATTAAAGGGCTTTTATACCCCTGCTTTTT